GGGGTTTCACCATGTTGACCAGGATGGTCTCGATCTCTTGACCTCGTGATCCACCCGCCTCGGCCTCCCAAAGTGCTGGGATTACAGGCTTGAGCCACCGCGATCCTCCATTTTTTAACTATCACCATGCTTTCTCAAGCCTCCATGCATTTACATATGCTGTTTCTTTCACCAGGCAATTCCCCGACTTGTCTGCCTAGAAAACCAATCCTTCAAAGTCTTGGTTTCAGCCCTATATCTGTCAAAGCTTCCCTAAAGGCAGTCAGACATATGCTCACAGACACAAAACACACAGCTCCACCATAGCAATGAGCTTCCATTCATTCAACAAATGCTTTTGATGCCCTCCCATGTGCCATACACTCTATAAGGCTGTAAGGATTCAGAAACAATAATTGAGTTCTCATCTTTATGGAACTAACTTCTAATGATGTTGCAGAGAAGTAAATAGTGACAACTTGCTGTGAGCAGTGTATGCTATAGGCAGGCACAGAACACCATGGGCCATGTCCAATGGGCTACTGTGATTGGGGTCAAGGTGTGGAGGGAAAGAAAGAATAAAAGTCTTAGATAAAGTGAAAGAAGAAGACAAGAAGAAAGGGAATTTCAAGAAAAAGTGCAGACTGTGCATTTGCAGAGATGTGGGAGTGTGAGAAGTCTAAAGAACTGCCATAGTTTCATATGGCTGGAGCATTGATCAATGGCATGATGTGCAAAGGGGGACATTAAAAAGATAACGTCCTTACATGTGTTCTTCCAAAGCATTAAGTGTTAGTTTGAATTTTAACTTGTTTCTATGCCCTTAGACCACGATAAACTTGAAACCTCAAGGCCCTACCTAATACAAAAATGTGCCTAGCAAACTTTGTTAAATACTAAATAATTTCAAAGTATTATAATTTTCCAACAGAGGAGTTGGCCTGAACTAATGAACAGTTTTATCAACAGCTTGAATGAATTCAGAGAAGACATGCTTACCAAATTTGTGTATAAAACAATATTGTGATCAATAGAATCCAAGTTCAAAAATATTTGAATAAACTAAAACAGTGGCCCAAAATGCAATCAATAAGGCAAAATGCAATAGAAATAAATGCAAAGTTCTACCCTTGGGCACAAAAAATCAACCAACAAAATTGGATTGGGAGGTAGGGAGAGTGGTACAAAGAAGGTCTTTGATTAGCAATAATTTTGGCATATTATTGCAACAGTATCACATGGCGTTCCCAAAACCTAACGAATTAGTATAAATGGCATGAGCACAGACTGACCCTGTTTATTTCATTGTTCAGTACCTCTCAATTACTGTTCTCAGTTCTCTGAATTTTACACTTTACCAGGGACATTGATAAACTGTTATTTGTTCAAAGAAAAGCAGACAGGATTGTGAAGGTTTTAGAATTGTCACATAAATGTGATGGGAAGTGGGGGCCAAATTTTCTCAGTCTAGTGGAGAGAGAACTTGATTAGGAAAGGCGGTCATGTAGACAAAAGATTAGATTTATCCTTTATAACTCCAGAGACCTGAATAGAAATTATAGAGAATTTGACCTGTACATAGAACACTTTTTTTTCAATTAAGATGCAAAAAGCAATGAGTAGGGAATCCTTGCATGGAATGACACTCTGCTAGATAACCTCTAAAAAACTTTTTCCAAAATTCTCTATTAGTAAATCCATGTGAAATGCCTTTGGATTTGGTAGATCTTTCCTAAACTGAGTAGCCTTATTCAACCCTTATTCATATTCATCTGATTTCAGTTGCTGGAGAGACCATCCTGGTTGATGGAGTCAGTGAGGAATTCCAGCTTGTTGACCTGCTTCCTAGTACCCACTATACCGCCACCATGTATGCCACCAATGGGCCTCTCACCAGTGGCACCATCAGCACCAACTTTTCTACTCGTGAGTACATGGTCATCTACATCCCCCATATCCCTGGGGACTTTTGTGGGTTCTAAAAATGATCAGTTTTCTTGTGGTGGACTAGATTATCACCTACAGGCTTTGGACAGGGCAGCTATGAGCTGTTCTTATTTGAACTGACTACAGCCCAAAGTCAATGAAACTGAGCTGCAACTTTTGGCCAGCAGACACTGTTTCCTGCCCTCACCCTGGGTGACAGCAGAAGAACCAGGCCAAGTGAGGTCTGTACTCGGAATGCATCTGCCCCAGCCAAGTCTGATAGATATTCAAAGGCTAGATATCTAGGAGAGAGCTACTGAGTAGGAAGCAGACAAAGGTCGCATGTGGAAACATTGTAAGTTCACAAGTGAACTTGCAGACATCAGGGTCTCAGGATAGTGGGTCAGTTTGGAAGATGCCACACCCAAACCTACAGGCCCTGTGAGGGAAGGGGAAGTAGCTGCAAGAATGACTGTGGCACTGAATGGTTATCTTCTGACCCAAGAGCACCCCTTATGGTCCTGTCCAAGCCAGAGTGAGGGTCAGCATGTGAGCAACCCTGAGACAAAAGAGGTGGGCAAATAGATACCCATGCCTGAAATCAAGCAGGGGGAGAAGCTGGGGAGGCAGGCACGCCCTGGCACTTTCTCCTCTTTGCAGTCCTGGACCCTCCGGCAAACCTGACAGCCAGTGAAGTCACCAGACAAAGTGCCCTGATCTCCTGGCAGCCTCCCAGGGCAGAGATTGAAAATTATGTCTTGACCTACAAATCTACCGATGGAAGCCGCAAGGTGAGATTTTGCTGGAAAGGGAAAAGACCATTTCTCCTGAGTGAGGCCGTGTGGAAACTGACTAGTGGAGTGACCAGGGGGCAATGGAGGGAGGGGGAAGGAATCAATCCACAGGGAACTAATCAGTTTCCCATCAAGGATACACAGCCTGCTGTTGAGGAAAGAGCCCTAGTCTGCAAGCCAGAAGATTTTGATGATAGTCCTAGCTCTGCTATCACTCTCTACGTAAGTTGAGGCAAAGGGCTAAACCTCTTCAAGGCTTGCTTTCTTCTCCAGCTAATGAGGGTCTCTACCCCTGCAGCTTCACTGGGTTGCGCTGGTGCTTCCAATACAAGGACACAAAGCACACTGGAAACTCCCAAGTACATGATATTGGAATAATTTTTCACCAACAGGGCTGAGCAAACATGAGCTGGATACCAAATTCAATAGGCTTTTATGCCTCTTGATAAGCATTATAAAGGCGATATCTGTGTAGTAAAGAAACAACAAATTTTTGTTTTATTTTCTCAGTTGAAACAGTTCATCCAGAACACTGATTTTCAAGTTTTTGTTAGCAAAGGAACCTCTTTTTAAAGGGAACTCATATGCAGAAACCAAAAACGTAGAATACATTTCAACAGAGTTAGTCTGCTTTATAGAAATAAGGAGGCCTTGGATCCCACTTCTTGGCTCTTTCTCTGCTCTCAAGCAAGCCCAGTGCAATCTGAAAACTTCTAGATTCAATAATCCAGGTGTCTAAATTTATCTCAATGGGCATTCCTGAGATAGGACCTGGCCTAATTCCACATGAGAGCTCTCCTCTCTGCTTATTGGTGCAGTTATCTCCTTACTGTGGGATGGAGAGGATGACAGTGGCCACTGCAATAGTGACCTAGCTGGCCATAGGATTTCCCTTCCCTACTTTCCCAAATTGCAAGCCAGTTGCTCCCTTCCACCACCCTTCCTTTGGCTCATTATACAGGAGCTGATTGTGGATGCAGAAGACACCTGGATTCGACTGGAGGGCCTGCTGGAGAACACAGACTACATGGTGCTTCTGCAGGCAGCACAGGACACCGCGTGGAGCAGCATCACCTCCACCACCTTCACCACAGGTGAGGGAGCATGGCCACTTTGATGCCACCTTCTCTACTTCCTGAGGTTTGGCTCCTCAGCATCCTCTGCTGAGACTTGCCCTGGGAGCAGCTTATTTAGAAAGCTCAATTGCCTCCTCCTTCCTTCCCCCTTTCCAAGTCCCTGCCAGGAAACCTCTCACTAACAAGGCAACCACAGGAACCAGCAGCACAAATTCCTGGTTCACCCAGACCAACTAAATGCACCAAGTAAAAACATCGAGTTCTGGCTGGGCACAGTGGCTCATGCCTGTAATCCCAGCACTTCAGGAGGCCAAGGCTGGCGGATCATCTGAGGTCAGGAGTTTGAGACCAGCCTGGCCAACATGGTAAAATCCTGTCTCTACTAAAAATACAAAAATTAGTTGGGTGTGGTGGTACATGCCTATAACCCCAGCTACTCAGGAGGCTGAGGCAGGAGAATCACTTGAACCCCAGAGACACAGGTTGCAGTAAGCCAAGATCGTGCCACTGCACTGCAGCCTGGGTAAAAAAGTGAGACTCTATCTCCAACAAATAAAAATAAAAAAACATCAGGTTCCTTCCAGTTCAGATTTTCTGCAAGTGTTTTTCCAGCAAAGTTCATCCTTCTCTTCCTTCCTCCTTTGCTACCTATCATCAGAGACTCATTTAGTAAAAGCAGACATAGTAAACACTCAACATTAAACCTGCAGCTCTTCTCCATACACAAAGCTCTTCTGCATTCCTATGGTCTCACTCAGTTCTTGTAACAACCAGTCAGGAAGGCCTTATAATCCCCGTTTCACAGATGATGAAACCAAGGTGGATGAAAACCAAAGACTTACATGGCTAGTAAATATCTGGGTCAGAACTTGAACCCAGGTCTTCTGCTGCTAAATGCAGCTGTTCCTGCTGCCTTCCCTCCTTAAATCAGCAAAAGATACCTGAAAAATGCTGTTAAAGGATTAAACAAAAAGTCCTAATATCTATAACAGGAAATAACCTAATATCTGACTTTCAAGAGTTATTTGCCAAGCACTGTTTAGCTGCATTACATGTATTATCTACTGTAACCTTCACAACAGCCAATGGTATGTACTATCATCTCTGTTTTACAATTGAGGAAACTGGGCCACAGAGAGATGAGGTAACTCACCCAAGATCCCATAGTTCTTTTTTTTTTTTTTTTTTTAAAAAAGGTTTTT